CTCTTGTCAATGCTGCCTTCTCCTACGGTGGTGTCGAAATGGTCGCCGTTGCCGCCGGCGAGGCCGAAAACCCACGCAGAAACATCCCCAAGGCCGTCCGTCGTGTCTTTTGGCGTATCCTCTTTTTTTACGTCCTGGGCTCTCTCGCCATTGGTGTCCTTGTGTCTTCCGAAGACAAGGGCCTTCTCGACGCTCAGGCCGACGGCCGCGCTGACGCTGCTGCCTCCCCCTGGGTTATCGGCATCAAAAACGCTGGCATCTCCGTCCTGCCCTCCATTATCAACGCTGTCATTTTGACTTCCGCCACTTCCTCTGGCAATGCCTTCCTTTACTCCGGCTCTCGCTACCTCTACGCTTTGGCACAAAACCGTCAGGCCCCGCGCATCTTTCTCACTTGCAGCAAGAAGGGTGTCCCCTACTACGCCGTTGCCATGACGGCTATCATCGGCGCCCTCACTTATCTCTCTGTCGACTCCAACGGTGGTGCCGCAAAGGCGTTTGGATGGTTCCAGAACCTGACTACCATCGCCGGTCTCTTCACCTGGTGCTCGATCTGCATTGCTTACCTCCGCTTCTACAAGGCGCTGAAGGCTCAGGGCATCAACCGCGATACATTGGTCTTCAAGAGCAGGTTCCAACCTTACACGGCCTGGTTCGCGCTCATCTACTTTGCTATCATCATTGTCTTCAACGGGTTTGCTGTCTTTATCAAGGGCAACTGGGATGTTTCTGGTAAGCCTCCTCCTTTCACCCTTGGTGATCCCTTTCGGGGGCCTTTTCGAGGGGTTTCTTCCTTTGACTCATACAGGGATATGCTAACATGATTTTGAACAGACTTCATCGCTTCTTACATTGGTATCCCCATCTTCTTCCTCCTCTACGGTGGCTGGAAGCTCATCAAGCGACCCAAGGTTGTCAAGCCGCATGAGGCCGATCTTACGACTGGAAAGGACGCGCTTGATGCAGAGGATGAGTATTGGCAGAGAGAGTATAAGCCTCCTCATACCATAATTGAAAAGTTTTGGGATTGGTTGGTGTAAGCTGCTGTAGGATTACTGGGCTGGATGACGTTGGGGACGGTGGTGGTCGTATTCGCTGTCATCTGCACTGCGAAAGTGTCATGGGCGGGCGAGTCGGTTGGAAGGGCGGTAGGGGTCTTTTAGTACTTATACCCATTATGAAATGTGTTAATGTAGATGCGGACGAATATTGCCTATGCTGCTCTACCATGTGTCATCGATCATTCACACCATCTTTCTTTCTGATGAGGAACGAACGAAAAGGTGAGACGAAAAGGCAACTCAGCCAGTCGGGCATTTATTGAAGTCGAGAGTCTGAAATGGACAGAGGGTGGTGCGCCACTGCTATCGAATGAGGTAGTCCGGTTCCGGGATCCTAGGTCTCGCTAGAGACGGGATCCGAGTATCACGTCCATTACCAGCCAGCATGGGGTGGGAATTACGTATGCTGCTCTCCGAAAGACCACGAGGACTGTCTATGTAGCTGTAAGTTTGAAAGCTCGAGAAGGTGTCACAAAGCTAACTGATCATTGCTAGGAACGAAGATCAATTGTAAGGAGGAGGGGAAGACGCTCACATGGCCTGGGTGTCCAAGATGCGGATGAGTAGCACAACCCCAACCGATTTGAGAGTTGACTGGAGTAAGAAGAGGTGCCTCGATTGGAACAAGAAGGTAACACGACAACTTGTCACGACTACCTTACATGTGCAGCAGGCTTTTAGCTCGTCACCAGACAAGATGAGGTGGTTGACGGGCATTGACGGCAGACGGGCAACTAGTATCGGCATCGGCACTTTGCAGTTTTGCCGTAGGTGGCATTGTCAGATTTCATAAACACGACAAGACATAATGCACGCAAGATTCTGTTGTCAGTTTTGAAGGCTCCGTCCTCGGCCTTATTATCAAACCTTCCTGTCTCGGTCGTCGGCCACTGTGAATGACGCCACCGTTGAATTGTCACCTTGTCAGACAGACAGACAAACAGACTGCTGCTATCTTACTAATATATCAGAGAGACACAACATCTACTCGTGATGCGTGATGACCACCGTGAACTTGGGTGATGCGTCCAGCACCTTATTTCCGACCGTTCTATCTAGCTGCACTGGTCTTGGGACGGCTGGCTACAAGGTGTGATTCGCCCACTATCTGGTGCCAGACCGTTGGAATCTCGGAGAATTAAAGTATTAAAAGTCTGAGGAAAATTTGGGGAAGTGACAGGTCAATATCTGGGCCCAAAGTCTGGGAACATGACATGAATCATGAAACCTTTGAGCCTAACCAACGTCTGAGGAAAGTGTATGAGAGGAATGGATAGAATGACACCCAGCGATCAGAGTACGACACCAGCGGCCAGAGCATGACTGAGGCTCCGTTCACACCCCAGACAATCCACCCAGTCACCTGTGTCTCGCTGGCCATTCTCGGTCCCAAGATCTTGGGAATTACGCTGTGGAATGACACACAGGAGCTAAACCGTCCTCAAGCGCGTCATGGACTTGTCTTTCAAGCGCGGTTGCGGTCAACCTCCCCGTCCAAGAAGTTCATCACCGGCACTAAGATTCCTAGGCCGCCTACTTGGTTCGATTAGGTCCAGACTTCAGAGCTCCGACATCTCATATGACTATTTCTCTCTCTTTTTCATTTCTTCGATGAGTGGTCTGGTTGAAGAAAACCTCAGAGGTCGTCATTGGTTTCGAGCTGGAACCAAAGATCCGAGGGCAAATCGACCAAGTTCTTGAAGAGAACAGAAACAGAAACCGTGCGTGGCGTCAGCCATCCGCTTCACTACCACACCACCCTCACCATCACTCCGAACTCAACACCATCATCATCACCACGGGAACAGGAACAAGGACGTTTTTGTGTCACCGTCAGCAGTTTGCTCCGAGCTTCTTCCGAGAACCGGCTGGCCTCCGAAACTGCCCCTGTTCTTCAGTTCTTCAATCGTCTCTAACCCGCACCCTCTCTTGCACTGCTGCTGCTGCTCGGTTCTTTCCGATCAGTTTCGTCCAAGTCTTGGGCTAGCCATTAGACTTGTAACTGGGGGACAGAAGGCTCAGTTAGGAAATATGTCCTGATGACGAAAGTGATTTTGACTGCACAAAGGAGCGGAAATAGATGGTATTGGCTGTTGGTGGCTGCTTATGGTCATTTGGGCTTTTCTGATAAACCTGGAACTGTGCTGGAAGGTAGAACTTGCCTCCGTTGCAGACTGTCTCGATCAGACCGTCTCTTGTTCCAGTTCCTTATCAAATCTTCGGGAGAGAAGGGGAGTATAAAACCTGTGTTAAGGTCCACTCACTTCAAGGTCTGGGAAATCTGGACTCCGACGTACGAGACGGCTCTTTTAAACCCCTTAGACTCCCATAAAGCAATACACTAGATCATAAACCCCCCTCCAAACAACATGAAGATCTCACGACCATCTTCTCCACCACCATTCCCTTCCTCCTCCTAACCTTCCTCACCCACCCTAAATGTCTGGTCTCAGCCCAACTAGACAAGTACGCCAAACTCGCTGGCCTTTCCTACTTTGGCACGGCCGTCGACAACCCTCGTCTGTACAATGAGCAATACATGTCCGTTTTGCAAGGGCCTGGCGAGTTCGGTTCTTTGACGCCCATCAATGCGCAGAAATGGAAGAACATCGAGCAGGTCCAGGGGGTGTTTACCTGGGCTGAGGCAGATGCTGTGGCGAATACGGCAAAGGCCGGGATTGGGGGAAGAAGGTGCTGAGGTGTCATACTATGGTTTGGTTTAAGGGGTTACCTTCTTGGGGTAAGTACCATGTCTTTGTGTGAGCGGAGGAGAGGTTATAAGGAGATAAAGGAATTGTGGGGTGATGGTGATGGTGAGATGGTGACTGACGAGCGAGAAACAATAGTCGAAACAACGTACTCCCGCGCCGACATGGAGAAGATACTTACGGCACACGTACAGAATCTAGCGTGGCACTTCAAGGGAAGATGTTATGCTTGGGATGTGGTCAACGAAGCCATTGATGATAATGGAGTGTTCAGGCAGAGTCCAAGTATGTCATGTCTTCCTCCCTCCCCAGACATGGAAGCTAATATCCCCCAAGTGTACAAAGCCATGGGCCTCGACTTCATCACCTTCTCCTTCAAGACCGCCGCCAAAGCCGACCCCGGGGCGAAACTCTACTACAACGACTACGCCCTCGAATCCCCCTCCCTTTCCCCGGGGCCCAAAATCTCCATCACGCTCGCCATGCTGCGCACCGTCAAGGCCCAAGGCGCCACTGTCCATGGCGTCGGCTTCCAATCCCACCTCAAAGTCGGGCTCGTCCCTTCCCGCTCCGAGATAGCCAACACGATGCAACAGTTTCTGGATGTGGTGGACGAGGTGGCCGTTACCGAGCTGGATATCAGACACAGCCCGCTGAAGAGGCCGAGCACGAGGGCGATGTGGGAACAGCAAGCCAAGGAATATGGGGAAGTGGTTGGTGCTTGTTTAGATGTGAATAAGGGCTATGGCGGGAGGAGATGTGTGGGGGTGACGGTGTGGGATTTCACGGATAAGTATTCGTGGGTGCCGAGCGAGATTCCGACGGAGGGTGAGGCTTGTTTGTGGGATAACAACTATGTGAAGAAGCCGGCTTATTGGACGATTTTGAATCTGTTCAAGTCTTATGCGGCGGGCGGGTCGAAAAGGTGGGCTGAGGTGAATGGGACGGATCCGGAGTCGAGACCGGTAGCAGACGGCGAGGTCGAGAGTGTAGTGGCGGATAGGGCTCTGTCGGTACAGGAAGAAGCTCAAGAACGAGGTATGAGAACGGCAGTGGTGGCAACCACGCTGGCAACGGCTGTGAGGGCGAGGGCGACGGCTGTGAGGGTCAGGTAGCAGATGGTCATGGAAGGAAAGGGGGAGGGAGCCCTGGCTTTTTGTGCCTTTGATCGTTCAAATTCGTGATACCTTGTACAAGTATATGACAGCGCTCGCTCGCTTGCAAATATCCATTATCCAACCCGGGTATATCTATTCCAAATACTCCTCGAACCAAGACACAGCCTGTGCAAATGCCTGCTCCCGCGCAAAACTTCTCCTGCTTCTTGCTGAGATCGGCGCGCATGGCGAAGCCGTGAACGACCTGGGAGTACAGGTTGATCTGGTAGGGTAGGCCCTTCTCCTTGAGGATCTCCTCGGACTTGTGGCGCTTCTCGGCAGGGAAGATGGAGTCGGTCTCGGCGGCAGCGATGGAAAGAGGGCCATTGATGGCGGCGAGCTCCTCCTCGTCAACGAAGGAGGGGTGGGCGATGAAGCCGACGTCGATGCCGGTGAAGGGGGCGGTGGTGGTCATGTGGCGGACTAGGGACTTGGGGATTGTTAGTGACTGCTGAAATGGGGGAAGCGACGTAGCGAAGAGAGAAAAGGACCAACGCAACGTCGCCAGCGCATTTCCATGGGCAGAAAAGGGACAAAGCTTACCTTGGCACCAAAGCAGTATCCCAAAGCACCAATCTTGGTCGCACCATACTCCTCCTTCAAGGTCTTGATCGCGGCCTGGACAATGGGATCGACGGCCTCCTTGGTATGCGGGTTGTTGCCGGTGCTGCCCTTGGTCATCCAGCCCATAAAGTCGAAGTCGTCGGGGCGATTGAGCGGGAGAGGATCGCCGTTAAAGATGTCGAGAACTAAGGTAAGGTAGCCCTGGGAGGCCAGCTGGTCGGCCATCAGCTTGGAGTTTTGCCAGATGCCGATGATGTCGGGAAGGAAGAGGAGAGCTTTGCCGGTCTTCTGGGTGCCGGAGGGCTTGGCGATGTAGGCATCCCACTTGTCGGCGACCTTGGTCATGGTGCCGGTTGACTCGCCCCTAGAAGCAAACTGGTGTTAGTGATGTGTGGTGTAAACAGCAGGTGGTGATTGGGAGTTTGGTGGTGGACTTACTCGTGGCGGAAGCCGACGACGCAGCACTTGGAGGGAGGGTTGGATGCCATTGTGATGTTTAGTGTGGTGTTTTGTCGTTTGGTGACACTTGGAGGAAGAACAGTCGGAGAAGGTGATGCGAAGCGTTGTTCAAAAAGTATCCAAAATGGGTGCGGTTTGTAAGCTTGGCTACCGCGTCATCGATCGATTCCCACGCGTTCGTGCCGAGCCCGCTTTTGACCCCATTCCTAAGCTGCCCATCGCACGCGTGGTTACCCCTCCCGGTCCTGAAGATCATCGAAGCCTCCACTGCGGAAACTCGCCGAGACCTCCGGGAGAACGCCGAGACAGCGGTTGCAAGTTCTCAATTGTCGAAATGGCTTTTGCTTTTGATAAGCCAAGGTACAAGTACAGGGCAGTCGAGGAGAGCCTGCCCCTTTTGTCAACCGACGTTTTAGTTTGCGACTTCCTCTTTCTTCAACGGTAATGGCATCGCCTTGATGATGGCGAGGCAGAATTGCGATAACGAAATTATTCGCAACGGAGCTTATTATCAGCTAGATGCCCCGCACTTGCACATCTTCCTCCTACAACCAAAAGT